TTATTTTCAAAACATGATAAACCATGGAAACTCATCCTTTAGAGTCATGGTTCCTTTTATGTTGTTTTTATCTTGTAAACTCTTGGTTTAGAGTTGTTATTTGATGAATGGAAAGTTTTATGGATTATTCATGAAAAACCCCCAAAAACCCCCCAAAATGAGAATACGAGTATAAAGAGAAAGAGATGAAATGTTAGATGTGGATAATGGCTTTGATGTTGTTATATGAGATGAACATGTATGCTTTGATATTTAGAAACTTATATTGAAGTAGTTTTGGAAATATTGAAATATGAGATGTTATGCATGTTTTAGATGGTTGAATATTTTGTATGATTAAATGATGCAAAGTAAGTTGTTTATGTGATATTTGGAATAAATGACTAACATTGTTGTTATTGGTGGAAATGAGGAAAGATCCTAAGGTTGGAGGAAATCGCGGAGGAGACTTTTAAAGTTACTCGGAACCGATCCCCAACGCTCACCAAGGTAAGGGATAAGTGGCTCTAATTCATACTCACTTATATGAATGAGGTATGTGAAAGAGGTAACGTGTTGGTAAGTTTATGGTTGTTACCCTACCCGAGGAGGTAGTGGTTTATCATTGTGTCCTACCCGGAGTGGTAGTGAACTATTTATCGTGTCCTACCCTGAGTGGTAGTGAACTGTTTATTGTGTCCTACCCGGAGTGGTAGCAGACTGTTATGGTGTCCTACCCGGAGTGGTAGTTGACTGTTATTGTTATCCTACTGGGAATGGTAGTGAAGTATTGTGTATGACTTGCCCTATGTGGTATTGTATATGACTTGCCCTATGTGGTATTGTGTATGACTTGCCCTATGTGGTATTGTGTATGACTTGCCCTATGTGGTATTGTCTATGACTTGCCCTATGTGGTATTGCGTATGACTTGCCCTATGTGGTATTGCGTATGACTTGCCCTATGTGGTATTGCGTATGACTTGCCCTATGTGGTATTGAATATGACTTGCCCTATGTGGTATTGCGTATGACTTGCCCTATGTGGTATTGCGTATGACTTGCCCTATGTGGTATTGCGTATGACTTGCCCTATGTGGTATTGGGTATGACTTGCCCTATGTGGTATTGTGTATGACTTGCCCTATGTGGTATTGTGTATGACTTGCCCTATGTGGTATTGCGTATGACTTGCCCTATGTGGTATTGCGTATGACTTGCCCTATGTGGTATTGTGTATGACTTGCCCTATGTGGTATTGTGTATGACTTGCCCTATGTGGTATTGTGTATGACTTGCCCTATGTGGTATTGCGTATGACTTGCCCTATGTGGTATTGTGTATGACTTGCCCTATGTGGTATTGCGTATGACTTGCCCTATGTGGTATTGTGTATGACTTGCCCTATGTGGTATTGTATATGACCTACCCGAAGTGGTAGTGGATCATTAAGGGAAATTGCCTACCCGAAGTGGTAGTGGTTCATTGAGAAATTACATACCCGATGTGGTAGAACCGGAGGTGGTAAAGAGTAAGCCTGATGGCGAGAATAAGCAATGAGACAAAAAGATTTGAGATAAACGAATATGCATGCTATAGGATATATAGTATGAGATATATATTCTATAGGGTGAATATGGATGATAAAGTGGAAGATGTGAACAATGAAAGTCATATGCATGTTATAGGATATATAGTATGGGATATATATTCTATAAGGTGAATATGAAGGATGAGAACTGAGAATGTCACAATGAAAGTCGTATGCATTCTATAGAGTATATTGTATGGGATATATATTCTATAGGGTGGATATGAATGATGAGAAGTATGAGGTTTCGAAGGAACGTAGTAGGCGTGCTATAGAATATATATTATGGGATATATATACTATAGGACGAATATGAATAACGTGGAAATGAAAGAAAGAATATATGAACGTTTACATTTATTTATCCGTGGTTATGATTTATATCAATGCTTAATTGTATTTGAAATGTGGATTATCGTGTGATGTTAGTTTTGAACTAATGACTTACTCCCTTTTGTTTTGTGTGTTGTTTATGATAATCCCATTGTAGGTAAATGAAGGATTTTGAGGATGAAGCTCGATTAGGAAGCTTTTGTGTTTATTTACTCGATTGTCTTTATTGCTATTTGATATTGTAGTTGATTTGATAGTATTTTGGGATAATTGTAATCTGATTAGGATAATATGGTGACATGCAGTTATGGACGTTATAACTCTGGAAAACCCATAACTGGACGTATGTGATATAGGCTATCTGAATGAATTATGTTTTTCCGCAACATAAATTTGTATGATTATATAATAGGGTAAAGAGTATTTTCAAAGAAAGATACTTGAGAGTTTTTAATGAAGGTGACGACTGTATGTAAGAAAGGATTAAAATAAATGAAAAATTTTCAAGGGTAGAATTTGGGTCGTTGCAATATGGTATCAGAGCATAGTTAATCCTGCGGCCTAGGATATGGCCTTACATGCTTCTTTGTGATCTTTATGTGCTTGAACTGCTTGGTTAGCATTGACGGTTGTGTGTTTATGTGATGCTTGTCTGGTTATAAAATTAGTCTACTGACAAGTACGTGAGTGCAGGTACGCATGACTGAAAGAGGAAGAGAAACGAGCCAGAATACTTCCGATGATCTCTTGGCACAGATGTTAGAGGTGCTTCAGGGCATGAATGAAAACTTACGAAATTTGAATCGGAGCGTGGCTCCAGGTCCAGGCTCTCTGTCCCAAGCTGGATCGGAGACCTAATGTCATGCATGCTGGGGAGGCGAGGGACCACGGTCGGATGGTTACCCCAAGTGGCGCAGGGACATCGGGTGTTGATGATCCGGCGAGAGGTAAACGCATGGTGACAGGTATTCCTTGTTTAGTGTTGTTGCTTCGAGAGCGACACACTCACTTATATATGATAAATGTGAAAATCGGCTGAAATTGTAAACTGAGTCATTACTTCCGACTTGGTCGCGTTGACCCCAATCTTTGTGCTGGTGGTGGTGTCGACGTTTATGTTCTAGTGTCCGATTGTGGTAAATGGTGTGATATTTACCGTAGATTCAGTCTTCTTGTCGTTATCCCAGTTAGATATAATTTTGGGGATGACCTAATTGTCAGCAAATCATGTTGTGATTGAATAGTGCTGACAAGGTTGTGGCGGTTAGGGATCTGTGCGAGATCTCTGACCAAGCTAGTGGTTTGGTGCCAGTGTCGGCTAAGAGAGTCAGGACCCTCCTTCGAAGAAGGGATCGGTATTCATTCAGTAAATGTCACAAGAGGGTATTTAAGAACTCGTTAGTATTTCGAGATGTTAAGATTTGAAAGAACTATTTATTTTGTCTTGGAAAGTGGACTTTCGTCTATGAATGATTGACTTTTATAATAAGTATACTTACAAGAAAAATGTTTAAGTCGGAGATACTTGTTTTCTCTTATGAGTTGTTACAGGTTAATTCCCTTTGTTGGCCTTAGTGTGTATGCGCACGCTAAGAGGTGAAACTCATATTTCTAAAATGAAATAGAGGTTGGATAAAATTACCTAAAGGTCCTTGCGACTAATGTGTTTACATGGATGTTGACTAATCAGATGTATTATCATTTTGAGGTGACCTATGGTTGGTACCCCAAAATCGATTAAGTATGAAAAAGTTATTTTTGATTCTTGTGTATGAAGCTTCTGGTCTATGAAATTTATTTTTTTGTTTAAGATGAGTACCCGCCGTAACAAATGTATATTGGTATTGAACACCAAGCTATGTGCGGGGATGTTGAACCTAAAAAAAAAAAAACTTATTTTGGATCGGTAGTGTCTCAGTGTACGGTTGGGGTAAATGGTAGAACCTTTACTATAGTGTTGATATGCGCGATGATGTCCCAGTTGGATTTAATCCTGGAAATGGACTAGCGGTCATCAAAATTGTGTTTTGCTTAACTATGTGATGATTGTTGAGGTGAAGAATTAAGATCTAGTTGCATTGATATGTATATGAGTGCAAAAGAGTAAGACTTATAATGATAGTCGAGAAAAGAGGCTAGTTAAGTTAATTACCCCGCCAATGTGATGAATGCAATGGAATAGACGTGAAACTTTTGGTCTCGAATGACCGGTTCTTTTGCGGTAGGACATTGGCAACGCATGAAATAGTGGTGGTGATCCGAAATTTTCTGCGTTGAATGTGTACCGGCAAAAGTTGTTGTTGTTTCGTGAACGTCAGTAATTGCGGTGTATGGGTGTGGTGTAACCATAGGAGAGAAGAAGTTTTGGGTTGTGTCGAAATGAGCGTGCGAACCTTGTTTCACGACGTGGTTGCCATGAGTCGTGGATTCAAACCGCTTTCGAAAATCATTTTTGGGAAAACTTAGCTTGTGCCTAAGTAATGATTTAGTATCATGTTGGAGAATTCCGAAATTTTAGCAACCATATCGGAATAAGTATGAGGTTGTTAAAAGTTTAGTGACATGAGACGCCCATGTATTTCTGGACATAATGCGAGAGGGTTAATAAGTTTATATTTACTAACGGAATTGGAGTGACCAAACCGAACGCAAGTTGTAGGTTTGAATGCTGGTCGACTTGTGCTTGCCGATTGGTAACAGAGTACCTAGTTTTGGTGTGAATCAATGGTTTTATGGTTTCAGCAGAGGCTATAAATTTGTAACTTCTTAAGACGATAAGATTTGATGGTAGAAATATTTGATGTAATTACACAATTACTGAATAGTTTGATTGTGTACAATAGATGAGACATTAAGAGACTTTTGTGTAGGTATTTTGTTGATCGAGTAAAATGAAATTGTGCTAGATTCTCGAGTGGAGATGAAACTAGTTAGTGTATGACGGATGTTAAAAGATGCATTTAGATAGATATGGGATAAGGGGTTCCCCATTCGCTGAAATTCGAGAGTGTTATCGGGATTCTTAACGTATGTTAGGATTGATAGATGGATATGTGATGGATACCTATGGTTCTTGAAAAATGTAGAAAAGATCTTTAGTCTGAATTATGGTTTAGTTCTCATGGTATTCAATGTTGTTCGAGGCTAGGATCTTAATATTTGGACATTGAGGAGTTAGTTCATGAATTGGTTTGATGATATCATGGTTTAGTGGTGTATGCCCTTAGTGACTGATTAATTAATCTTAATGGATTAGAGAATCGAATTGTGATTTTGGTTGAATATTCTTGTGCCTAAGCTCTAGGTGATGATTTTATTTTCCGATGTATGTTTAATTTTCGGGGACGAAAATTCTTATAAGAGGGGGAGGATTGTAACACCCCAAATTTTAATCTTTAAAAATATAGTATCAGTCTTGGAAGCCTCGCTTGATCGAGAGATTCTCGCCTGAGCGAAAAAGGATCAGCTGGGAGGGTGAAATCCTGGACTATACTGGAGGATTCTCGCCAATTTTGGGCTGTTGACACAGTGTAATCGATTACACTCTGCTGGTAATCGATTACATCGTGTAAAAAGCATCAGATATGTGCATTTGACACAGTGTAATCGATTACACATTTCTGGTAATCGATTACACATTTCTGGTAATCGATTACACATTTCTGGTAATCGATTACACATTGCTGGTAATCGATTACACACTCCTGGTAATCGATTACATCGTATTAAAAGCATCAGATATGTGCATCTGACACAGTGTAATCGATTACACATTTATGGTAATCGATTACACATTTATGGTAATCGATTACACATTGCTGGTAATCGATTACACACTCGTGGTAATCGATTACATCCATCAGATATGCGCATTTTTCACGTTGTAATCGATTACACCATGTTGGTAATCGATTACAACCCGACGAGACCTCTTTAAAACAGAAACCCAAACACATTTTTGGGTTAGAACTTCGAAGAGAAGAGAGAAATGAGAGCTTTTCAAGAGCAAGGAGCCTTAGGACTCATCTTGGAGCTTGAGAAGAGGTAAACCTCTTGTTACTAACTTTTTTTCTTCCTCTCTAACTTGTTTTGGGTATGTTGGATTTATTTTCAAAACATGATAAACCATGGAAACTCATCCTTTAGAGTCATGGTTCCTTTTATGTTGTTTTTATCTTGTAAACTCTTGGTTTAGAGTTGTTATTTGATGAATGGAAAGTTTTATGGATTATTCATGAAAAACCCCCAAAAACCCCCCAAAATGAGAATACGAGTATAAAGAGAAAGAGATGAAATGTTAGATGTGGATAATGGCTTTGATGTTGTTATATGAGATGAACATGTATGCTTTGATATTTAGAAACTTATATTGAAGTAGTTTTGGAAATATTGAAATATGAGATGTTATGCATGTTTTAGATGGTTGAATATTTTGTATGATTAAATGATGCAAAGTAAGTTGTTTATGTGATATTTGGAATAAATGACTAACATTGTTGTTATTGGTGGAAATGAGGAAAGATCCTAAGGTTGGAGGAAATCGCGGAGGAGACTTTTAAAGTTACTCGGAACCGATCCCCAACGCTCACCAAGGTAAGGGATAAGTGGCTCTAATTCATACTCACTTATATGAATGAGGTATGTGAAAGAGGTAACGTGTTGGTAAGTTTATGGTTGTTACCCTACCCGAGGAGGTAGTGGTTTATCATTGTGTCCTACCCGGAGTGGTAGTGAACTATTTATCGTGTCCTACCCTGAGTGGTAGTGAACTGTTTATTGTGTCCTACCCGGAGTGGTAGCAGACTGTTATGGTGTCCTACCCGGAGTGGTAGTTGACTGTTATTGTTATCCTACTGGGAATGGTAGTGAAGTATTGTGTATGACTTGCCCTATGTGGTATTGTATATGACTTGCCCTATGTGGTATTGTGTATGACTTGCCCTATGTGGTATTGTGTATGACTTGCCCTATGTGGTATTGTCTATGACTTGCCCTATGTGGTATTGCGTATGACTTGCCCGATGTGGTATTGCGTATGACTTGCCCGATGTGGTATTGCGTATGACTTGCCCTATGTGGTATTGCGTATGACTTGCCCTATGTGGTATTGAATATGACTTGCCCTATGTGGTATTGCGTATGACTTGCCCTATGTGGTATTGCGTATGACTTGCCCTATGTGGTATTGCGTATGACTTGCCCTATGTGGTATTGCGTATGACTTGCCCTATGTGGTATTGTGTATGACTTGCCCTATGTGGTATTGTGTATGACTTGCCCTATGTGGTATTGCGTATGACTTGCCCTATGTGGTATTGCGTATGACTTGCCCTATGTGGTATTGTGTATGACTTGCCCTATGTGGTATTGTGTATGACTTGCCCTATGTGGTATTGTGTATGACTTGCCCTATGTGGTATTGCGTATGACTTGCCCTATGTGGTATTGTGTATGACTTGCCCTATGTGGTATTGCGTATGACTTGCCCTATGTGGTATTGTGTATGACTTGCCCTATGTGGTATTGTATATGACCTACCCGAAGTGGTAGTGGATCATTAAGGGAAATTGCCTACCCGAAGTGGTAGTGGTTCATTGAGAAATTACATACCCGATGTGGTAGAACCGGAGGTGGTAAAGAGTAAGCCTGATGGCGAGAATAAGCAATGAGACAAAAAGATTTGAGATAAACGAATATGCATGCTATAGGATATATAGTATGAGATATATATTCTATAGGGTGAATATGGATGATAAAGTGGAAGATGTGAACAATGAAAGTCATATGCATGTTATAGGATATATAGTATGGGATATATATTCTATAAGGTGAATATGAAGGATGAGAACTGAGAATGTCACAATGAAAGTCGTATGCATTCTATAGAGTATATTGTATGGGATATATATTCTATAGGGTGGATATGAATGATGAGAAGTATGAGGTTTCGAAGGAACGTAGTAGGCGTGCTATAGAATATATATTATGGGATATATATACTATAGGACGAATATGAATAACGTGGAAATGAAAGAAAGAATATATGAACGTTTACATTTATTTATCTGTGGTTATGATTTATATCAATGCTTAATTGTATTTGAAATGTGGATTATCGTGTGATGTTAGTTTTGAACTAATGACTTACTCCCTTTTGTTTTGTGTGTTGTTTATGATAATCCCATTGTAGGTAAATGAAGGATTTTGAGGATGAAGCTCGATTAGGAAGCTTTTGTGTTTATTTACTCGATTGTCTTTATTGCTATTTGATATTGTAGTTGATTTGATAGTATTTTGGGATAATTGTAATCTGATTAGGATAATATGGTGACATGCAGTTATGGACGTTATAACTCTGGAAAACCCATAACTGGACGTATGTGATAAAGGCTATCTGAATGAATTATGTTTTTCCGCAACATAAATTTGTATGATTATATAATAGGGTAAAGAGTATTTTCAAAGAAAGATACTTGAGAGTTTTTAATGAAGGTGACGACTGTATGTAAGAAATGATTAAAATAAATGAAAAATTTTCAAGGGTAGAATTTGGGTCGTTGCAATTAGTGTCAACGAATTATTCATGAAGGTTTTTCAGTAAAATAATGAATGTATGTAAGGAAAGATTTTTAAATAAGTGAAAAAATTTCAAGGGTAGAATTTGGGTCCTTACAATCGCTACATAACTTGAACCAAAGTATCGCTACATAACTTGAGCCAAAGTATCGCTACATAACTTGAGCCAAAGTATCTCTACATAACTTGAGCCAAAGTATCGCTACATAACTTGAGCCAAAGTATCGCTACATAACTTGAGCCAAAGTATCACTACATAAGTTGAGCCAAAGTTTTTGCTTATATACTCAAGCCAGAGTTTTTGCTTATATACTTAAGCCAGAGTTTTGCTTATATACTCAAGCCAGTGTCGCTGACCATTCATGGTCGGCTAAAAATATATTTTATTTTCATTAATTTCACCATAAATCGTTTTCCCGAGCTTTATTTCCATTGGTACTCCACCAATACATTTCCCGAGTTTTATTTCTATTGGCACTCCACCAATACATTTCCTGAGTTTTATTTCCATTGGCACTCCACCAATACATTTCCCGAGTTTTATTTTCATTAGCACTCCACTAATACATTTGCCGAGTTTTATTTCCATTGGCACTCCACCAATACATTTCCCGAGTTTTATTTCCATTGGTACTCCACCAATACATTTCCCGAGTTTTATTTTCATTGGCAATCCATCAATACATTTCCCGAGTTTTATTTCCATTGGCACTCCACCAATACATTTCCTGAGTTTTATTTCCATTGGTACTCCACCAATACATTTCCCGAGTTTTATTTTCATTGGCACTCCATCAATACATATCCCGAGTTTTATTTCCATTGGCACTCCACAAATACATAAACGGTAAATACACCCGACATCGTTACAAACATATCCATATATGCTTATAACTACAAAGTGATTTACGATTCATTTCATTTTTCCGAGTTTTATTTCCATTGGCTCTCCACCAATACATAAACGGTAAATACACCCGACATCATTACAAACATATTCATATATGCTTATATATACAAAGTGATTTACGATTCATTTCATTATTCTGAGTTTTATTTCCATTGGCACTCCACCAATACATAATAGTAAATCTACTCCTCATCACTACCAACATATCCATATATGCTTATAACTACTAAGTGATTTACATTACATTTCATTATCCACATCAGAAAATCCACGCATTTTCTATCACAGGACATAAGTTAAAGACTTATCCTTACATTACCTTAGTCGTGTGTTTTTAGAATCATATAAATAGTTAAACCAACGTCCAAGAGAATCAATTTACTCATTCATTTTCAATTACCTTAATCTCAATGATAAAATAAAATTCACATCAAGAGATTGACCATAATGCAGAAAAGAGGTCCATCACTAGGAACTCTAAACAAATGAATCTAACACCAAGAAAACCAACATACATTCACAACCACAAACTACCCATAAACAATTCCAACAAGATGTTCACAACGAGAAACTTACCGCAAGGAATTTAACAGTCATCTTTCATATCAGTAGTTATCACATAGTTAACAAACTATCAACATAAATCAAGCAGTTAACTCACACAAATTTCATAAAGAAGCACTTAAGGCCATACCCTAGGTCGCAGAGTTGACATATGCTATGATACCATATTGTAAGGACCCAATTTTCGTAATCAAAAAATTCTTTTTAAAACCTTGTTCAAGAAAACGAATTGATTATTTTTAAAAGACATTAATCGAATGATTTGGAAAACCTGATTGAATATATATATATAAGTTCAATTCCTCTTT